ATGTCCCGAAAAGGGATATATTTGTTCGAAGTAGAAAAGTGGTTTTGGACTACTGTAACCGAGTAGAACAATCTAGCAGGTAACCGTAATGGACTGGTCCTCGTCGTAATGGTAGGCAATAGGCGTAGGTAATAGGCATCGTCAATAGGCGTCGTCATGTACCTCCACATCAGTCTGTATTTATGGCTGACACCAGCCAATCATATTACTGTGAGGGGGAACCCAGGTGTATGCATATACATTACATCAGAACCATAGAGAAGATAGTGGTTGGTTGGTTGGGTTTTATGGCATATCAACCACTGTAGGTCATTTAATTCCAAATTTAGTTATATATATATATATATATATATATATATATATATATATATATATATATATACATACACACACACACACACACACACACACACACACACACACACACACATATATATATATATATATATATTAAATATGTCGTACTATTAAACGTATAGCTGGCAATATTATTTTTTCAAGAACGTATAGCTGGCAACATTATTTTTTCAATAACGTATAGATGGCAACATTATTTTTCCAGTAACGTATAGATGGCAACATTATTTTTTCAAAAACATATTATCAGAGGCCTTGCTGTTGGACGTAGTTTATCGCCATACCCAGGACGCGAGAAGATCATGGTTTCACCTGGTATTTACGAGAAGGCACAAAAGCATCGATGTCGGATTTTTACCAAGTAAGAAACCTCAGTGGCACCATTCTCAATTGGAATGTTAAACATTTCACTTTGAATCGCATTGTGAAGAAAATCCCGAAATGGATTCCAGTTAATACGCCGACGAGAGAAAGAATCTTGTCAATAGGGCGTTTCTGTCTAATAGACGACTCAAAAGAAGTAGTAACAGATAATATTACGGTAAATATCCCATTCAGTACCACAGATGTGCTTACCAGTGGTCTGACCTTAACTAGTTGGGACTATATGTTCATGAGCGGGAGTTGGGGCGGAGCTTGGAGGTTGTATGTACTGATTTTATCAAAACCTGTAACCATATGTGCTTTGATATATATATATATATATATATATATATATATATATATATATTTGTGTGTATATTTGTGTATGTATATATATTAATTGCGTCTAGCATGAAACAGCCTGTCGTCTCTGAATGTTAATTTCACTTTTATATTTACATACGCTCTATCTCTGATATTGATCACTTTATCCCATAAATATAGCACACCTTAAAACTATATAACTATATTTCTTCATCAATCTATCTATCTATCTATCTATCTATCTTGGAGACCTTGTGGTACGTAGTGCACCAGGTCTCTGTATTCGGCCTTTCAAAAAGTGTGGTTGGTTTTGCACAAAGTCTTTACCACTATAATCAAATCATATGTGGTGGTGTCTGAGTGTCGGTTCCTAGGAACAGAGTTGCTTGATCCTCATACGTTGAATACGACGGGAGAGTTCATATATATATATATATATATATATATATATATATATATATATATATATTCATTTTACACATGTGCACATACACACGCGTAAAAGCGTACACGTACACACAAACAAACACGCACAAAGGGAAAAAAATCAACTTAGCACAAAGAAAAAGTACAAAATGATCTTTTTAACATAATATAAAAATAATGAAACTCGCCTGACAATTGCTGATAACTCCTGATGAGTGGAGCGAACGATTACAAAAGGTTTTGTCTATGAAACTTTGGATTCGGAAGGACGCATATAATGCCATTCATCTAAGCGACAAATTTTATATTTTTATGAATCATATATATGCTGATAATGCAAAGCTCTTCTATGAATTGAGCACTCTGAGTCACTGGCGTGTTTGTTCGAAAATAATTACGTAAAAATTCAAACTCCTCTCTGCCGGGAGCCAATAGCTTAGGGGAAAATCTCCGACTGATACCAAATCAGTCAGGTTTCGATCCTGGCTTGAGGTAATCGGATGTCTAGCCACACTGATTAGCTGTGATATGTTGTTCCTGATGACGGTTGTCTTTGAGTATAGAATCCAGAGGTTAGCAGTGAAATATTTCTAAGACAGTAGGGAAGCGTAGTTCAGGTTAGTAGTGGATATCCCGGTAAAGTAGCAGAGCGTAGTTCCTCTTCGCCTGACAAGCTGGCACTGGACATTCGGATAGAGTAAACAAAATGGCCACCTTTATACACGACGGATTGAATATTCTACGTCTTTTGATTGGTTAACCTTCTATGAGTGGTGGACTATAAAGTGAGTCAAGTTATTTGGGCTAGCTCACTAGTAGATATATATATACACAAAAAACTGCAACATGATACAGCGAAACAATCATTCTGTGGATGACAATATATACACACACACACACACACACACACACACACACATATATATATATATATATATATATATATATATATAGAATATCAATTGATAATTAGTAGGGATAATTCCAAGGAGTATATAAATCCAAAGAAAGCTCAATGTAAGAATAGAGCAATATAATAATGAAGACAGAATCCTTAAAAATCAATTTTGTTATAATTTGTTTCGTGGACTTTACATCCATCTCTTCAGACCAGTGTTTTGTTCAAAGTCCACGAAATAAATTATAGTCAGATGGATTTTTAAGGATTCTGTATTCATTATATATATATATATATATATATATATGTGTGTGTGTGTGTGTGTGTGTGTGTGTTAAGTTTTGTATATTTCTACACCAGTATCAGCAGCATGTTAGCGTGCAGCCTTTTATAGTTAATAATATAATCATTTTAATATTATTGCGTGATTGATTTTTTTAAAAGGATTATCGACCATTTTCCGGTTATTTAAAACGAGAAAATATTAGTTTAGAGTGTAAGAATCTTTGAGAGATAATAATGACTTACTGATACAAGTTCAACTAATTAACCCATAGCTAGGGGAAGAAGAAGTGGATTCATACATTTCCCAAGTGTATTTGCGTGTAAGGGAATATAACGAAAGCGGCTGGAATTAGAACTCGGCCCTTAGATTTCCAATTCCGAACCGTTATCTATTATACTATCCACTCATCTATACTTACCGCATCTGGTACTCCAAGGTCGTTACCCCCAGAGGTACTGATCAGGCTCGATGTTCGCCTGATTGTATGAGAAACAAGATCAATAATAATAATAGTAATTGTTGTGGCATATCTACGGACGATAATGGGTATGTTCCTATTCATATAAATACAGTAGTAAATACTGTATGTTGGTTTGCAGTCGAAGATTTGTCTCCAGCTGTGCTGATCAAACTCTCTGCCTCTGGGAAGAGAGGATCTCCAGACGAGGCTCTGTCGAAGGATAGAGTCTCGTCTCAGGAAACAGCTACCCGACCCCGTTTTATACAGGGTCTACGGGGAATTTTTGGCCGAGTCTACGGGCTTGGATACCCCACATTAAATTCGGCCTTGTTCCACATCTGACCGCGTGGTGTGGTTGGTAGATATCCTGCGGTTGGAGATTCCTTGTGGAATTTACTTGACTCCCTTCTAGCAGTTGACTACTACTTCTACAAACCGCTGGCGAATCTTATATGTGTTGTTCTTGTCCTAAGTATTATCGTTCATTACCAACCTTCATTTAATTATTCTATTCAGTAAGCTTCCCTGGGTTACAACAATAATAATAATAATAATAATTATATCAACAATAATAATAATAGCAATAATAATATTAACAATAACAATAATAATAATAATAACAACAACAACGATGACAATAATGACAACAGAACAATAACAATGATAATAACGGCAACAGCAACTTGAAATATGAATAGACAATAGTTGGTCAAAGCCAATAGGTTAGAATTTGTTTTTGCGCCAACAAATTGCTGAGTTTTTAGAATCTGTTGAAGAGCAGATTGCTGAAGAAATTTCAACAATATGGATCGGGTAGGCAAAGTTCAATTTCGAGGAAAGAAAAAAAAATGGATTATGGTTTAGATTATCGACACTGATGCCTAAACTCGAACCAAACACCAATCAGGCGCTCTTTATTTGTTAAGGAACTGACGTTTTCAGCGGATGAGCTACGGACCTTGCCCCCGCCGTGTGTGGAAGAGAGTTGTCAATTGTTCTGCTGCTATGACTTGATATTCAGTCAGATTGACTCGATCAGTGATCAATAGAGAGTGCGCTAGAGAAAGTAGCCCCATTTGCTATTTTAACGGTAGCTGTAGTAGCAGCGGTCAGAATTGCACTGGCATCCGCTACTTTCTCTTTCAACAAGTGTGTTGTATGAAAAGTGAGAAATCATGTGGAAAGGTGGCGGGATGGGAGGAATATGAGAGAGAGAGAGAGAGAGAGAGAAAGAGAAAGAGAGAGAGATTTTGAAGACAGTGGGGAGATATAGAGAGAAAATACGTACCTGGGAGAGGAGAATACATAGCAAGAGGAGAAGGAAATACTAATATTAGGGAGTAAGAAAGGGGTAAACAGACAGGCCGTTATAAACGTTAATTTGATTTCTTGGGAATTAGAAGGAATAATCGTTAGTAAAACACATTATACACATATATATATATATATATATATATATATATATATATATATATATATATAGAGAGAGAGAGAGAGAGAAAGAGAGAAAGGTGGAGAGAGAGGAACAGATTGCCATAAAAAGAAATAGGAGAAAAACGAAAAAAAAAAGATGAGTAAAAGTAGTAACTCACTTTAAGAGACGCAGAGAAAAGGAAAGAGAGGAGTGAATGGAGAGTAACTTTGATGGAGAGTAAGGAGGAAGACTAACAGAGAAAGGAGAGGAGCGGATGGGAGAAGGGCTGAGAAGACAGACGCTCCTAGCCTCTGCGAATAGAGGTAGAGGGTCAGACAGACTGATGGTCAAGTGCGTTTACAGACAGACCACATAAAGAAGAAGAAGAAGAAGAAGAAGAAGAAGGTTCTGGCGTAAAAATTATCTAGAGGACTAAGTTAAGTTTTCCTTTAGATGCTAGAATCAAGTCGCCATGGAAGGTAGTAGCTTGTCGTACCGCCTGCCAGCTCCACCACTCCCGCCACCTCCACCACCGCCGCCGCCTCCACCGTCTATACCTGCGCTAACGCCATCGCCACCGCTGTCGGGCACCTCGTCCCGACATTTCCTTTGGACGTCTCCATCCGCTTCAACGTCGACGCCATTTTCGGCTACGATACCTTCATCCACTCGTTCGACGTCACCAGCTGCATCGTCACCGCCGCCGCAGCCGCCGTCTTCGACGTCTGCACCGTCGTTACTGTTGTTACTGCTACAGATGTTACTGCAGCTATCGCCGACACCGCCGCTATCGTCATCTCCAGCGACGACGACAACAACAACAACAACGTTTCCGTCAAAACCCCTGACGCCATCATCATCGTCGCCATCATCCACGCCCCAGCTGTCACTTCCCGCGCCTAAAACACCACCATCAACATCGTCGTCACCGCCGATCACAACCACTGCGTCGCCAACTTCTGAACAGTACGTTTCGACCGTCGTAACGGGCTCTCTCGCTGCAGTAGTAGCCGCAGCCTTGTTTGGGGTTGCTGCCAATAGAGTGTTCCGCTACCACCGCCATTACCCCCTTCGGAAAAGAGTCCAGTCTTTTTCTTCGATTAGTTCTATCAGCTCGACTGAACAGCTATGCCCAACTTGATTCCGACCCTCTTTTAAACCGGCTATCTTTAGACCGGAATCAAAAAAAGAAAAAAAAAAAAAAAAAAGAAAAAGATAACCCCCCAAAACCAACAAAAACAAAACAAAACAAAAAACACCCCCCAAAAAACAACAACAAACTAACAAACCTGCCTGCATTTTTTGTAGTGATTCTAAATGTAATGTATCTTTATTCAAAGCTTACGCCCTTTTGCTAATTTGTATTATTTTTTGTCTTGCAAATTTCGTATCTTTTTTATTATAATAACCTGTTTTTGTTTAAACAGACTACGTGTTTTTGTTTCCTTTATTATGAAAAACAACAAAAAAAAGTTTTCTTTCTTGCATACTTTTAATCGTTCTCAGAATTGATATCCCAAAAAAAGAAGCGACTCGCAGACTCTTTAAATGCCATTTTCGGTAGATATGAATAACGGCATCAGATAGATTGCAAGAAATTGTCTGGAACTGTCTTGAAATGAATCGACTAAATGAATGTCAATTTATCAACAAGAGCCACATGTTGTCCAAACAGAAAATTTGTATTTTTAATTGGTTTTATATTTTGCAGAGAATAAACTATCTTGACTTCCGTTAAATGTTGCTGACATTCGAATATAAATATTTTAAATAAGAAATCACTTGCAATAAGGCTACAAATATTAGAACAGGCATGCTCATTTATTATACAGCATTTAAAAATATACACTTATATTGTTGGAAATATATTCATTCGCATCTATCTATCTATCTATCTATCTATCTATCTATCTATCTATCTATCTCATTCTATTTATATCTATCTATCTATCTATCTCATTCTATTCATATCTATCTATCTATCTCATTCTGTTCATATCTATCTATCTATCTATCTATCTATCTATCTATCTATCTATCTATCTATCTATCTATCTATCTCATTCTGTTCATATCTATCTATCTATCTATCTATCTATCTATCTATCTATCTCATTCTGTTCATATCTATCTATCTATCTATCTATCTATCTATCTATCTATCTTTTTTACACAGGGATACATGAATACGCTTGTAAATGTAGATATGTACTAATTCAGTCCATGGCCTCAATCATAGGGAATGCAACGTAACTCTCTTAAAAAGGGTCTGTTTAATAATCATTGCTTTATGACTGCTGCTCAATATTTACTAATCTAGCATACCCGGCTCCAACATACAAATCGTCTGACACCCGTGAGAATCGAAATCACCATTCTAGCAATGATCTCCTAAACTACCCTATTTAGTTAGACACTGATTAAAACTGTGTGTGTGTGTGAGAGAGAGAGAGAGAAAGAGAAAGAAAGAATTAGTGAGAGACAGACAGACAGAGAGAGAGAGAGAGAGAGAGAGAGAGAGAGAGAGAGAGAGAGAAAGTATATTGTTCCATCATTCAGAACAGGGATCTGTCTGTTTACATAAATATGAGCAACTGAAGTTGCGTGTGACAATTGTCTATTTCCAGCCAATAACAGTAGTCAGAGTTGAAGACCCGGTACAAAAAAAAAAAAAAATCCAATTAGGCAAAGTCTGTCTTTTTTTTTTTGAAAATCAGTATTGGAAATCTCAGCGTTTATTTATAGTGGGAAACTATTTCAGCAAGTAATAACAAATTCACACACACACACACACACACACACACACACACACACACACACACACACACACACACACACACACACACACACGTTCATCTACGAATATATATTAATCAAATCGTTTCATAGGATACAAATATATTACTATGGATTTTAAAGAAAATTCCATAGCGACCTTAAAAATTAATAATTTATAATATTAAAAAAATTCCATCCCCTTTCCCTCTCGTCGTGTCTCGTTGCTTATCTTCTTGCCTACCAGTCTGTTTCTCTTTCTCTCTCTCTCTCTCTCTCTCTATCTATCTATCAGTTTGTCCATTATCTATCTATCTATCTATCTATCTATCTCAGTTTGTCCATTATTCATCTATCTATCTATCTATCTATCTATCTATCTATCTATCTATCTATCTATCTCAGTTTGTCCATTATCTATCTATCTATCTATCTATCTATCTATCTATCTATCTATCTATCTATCTATCTATCTCGGTCTGTTCATTATCTATCTATCTATCTATCTATCTATCTATCTATCTATCGCTGTCAATTTTCTATCACTTTCAGTGTGTAAATCTCTCTCTCTCTCTCTATCTATATATATATATATATATATATATATATAAGATTATTTAATCTCTCTATTTCACTGTTTAAATCTCTCTCTCTCTTTCTACATCACTGTTTAAATCTAACTATCTAAATCTATCTATCTATCTATCTATCTATCTATCTATCTATCTATCTATTGCACTGTTTACATCTCTTTCTCTCTCTCTCTCTATTTATCCCTGTCAATTTTCTATCTATCACATTCATTGTGTAAATCTCTCTCTCCACACACACACACACACACACACACATATATATATATATATATAAATATATATAAGGCTATTTAATGTCTCTCTATTTCACTGTTTAATTATCTCTCTCTTTCTACATCACTGTTTAAATCTATCTATCTATCTATCTATCTATCTATCTATCTATCTATCTATTGCACTGGTTACATCTCTCTCTCTCTATCTATCTATATTTTTGGGATATTCATTAAACTTAGCATCGTATGTTACAGAAACAATTTAAGAGAAATGACAACATAAAGATTTTGTTGTGTCACTCTTCCAAATGGAAATACTTTTAAAATCAGCATTTAAAATAGTATATGCATTTGAACAACAAACACTAGCACTAGTTATAAATTATCTCCTATTAACAAGTACCAAGGTTTTATCGGAATGGCGTAATACTTTGCTCAATAGTCTGATTGTTCATTAGCGAATTCATTTCTCACTGGGTGCCCAATGTTTCTGGGTTTCGTAACAAAACTAAAGTCAGTAAATAACTATTAACAATCAGCTATCCTTTTTCTTAATCCTGTGTGTGATTAAGATGCATATTGTGTTGCATGCGTCCAGACATATAATTTGAATGCAGTCATATACATTTCCTACTGCGCTAAATGTTATGTGACGGATACCCATGTTTCAGTAGACGTCCTGTGCTTTTAAACAATGTGCATTATGTTTACCGACCTGTGCATTAGGAAGTCTTAAATAAAGTGTGCTCTCCGGGATTTTTTTTTTGTTAAGTTTCTCGAATGCGTAGGCTGGTATACATAATTCACATCTTTTAAAATCACAGGGCGTCTACTCAAACATTGGTATGCGCCCAAAAACGTTTGTCACGGTAGGAAATAATGTAAGTTAGAAAATCCCTTGATTCATTAGAAATTATATATATATATATATATATATATATATATATATATATATAGAAATAATCTTATAAATATAAGAAATTATACTCGTTTGGAAGACCTTGGGTGCCTTGATATGTAAATAAACAAACTAATACCCAAGGAAAAAAAGGTACAAAAAAGAAAGAACAAAGAACATGTACGTCAGCCGAAGGCAATCGTCTAGCATCCAAGTTCAGGGGCCAAAGAAAAAAAAATCGATACGAGTAAGGAAAATAACTAAGTGCTCAATACGCTAAGTAGAGCAAACCTAATTAAGCCTAAAGAGACAGATAAACCTACCAAGGTTTCACCTACGCAGATCGTCAGGGAATATACATATATATATATATATATATATATGTGTGTGTGTGTGTATGTGTATTGTGTATTTAGGCAGCAATTCTTTATTTATGCATGTTTCATTAAAAACGACAGACAAGGTAATACGGTTAAAATTTTATTTAATTTTTCTTGTGTTCGAATAAGTGCTTTCTTTTTTGGACACAGGGTGCGTAGAAACTTTCCAAATGTTCTATAATCCCGAGCGCTTTCGGCTATACTTTTAGCCATTATCAAGGATGATTCAATTTTTCAGCTTAATTGAGTGTGTGCATTATGCGTATGTTTTAGTGTGTTGTAGAGATGTTTTTAATTTCCGAATACGGTTCGCACATTGTGGCCTTGTTCGTAGTTAATATTGTTAAGAGTTGGCTTTTTCTTTTTTATTATTAAAGCTTTCTTTATTTTTAATCTTTTTTTTTACAAGTGGATGAAGTTATTATATTTGTGTTTTCTACTAGTATGTTTCTAATGGAGTCGGGTAAGATTGTTGTGTGTTTAAATGGATTTCTAATGGAGCTGTGATCAGATAGGTGTAACGTAAAGCATCTGGATAAGCATGTAGTTGTGTAACCGATGTAATTATTTATGAGTCCGGTTTGATATATATATATATATATATATATATATAGTACGTGGCAAAAAAAATGTATTTTTGTATTTTACCAAGACAAATGAGTAATAGAATTCGTTTATTAATACAGGGTATTAATACAGGTACACATATATACATTATACAAGTCAAAAGATAATTTAGTATTTTGTTGTTTAACCTTTTGCTTTAATAACGGCCTTAATTCTTCCTGACATTCTGTAGACTAAATTCTTTAGTAAGTCAACGTCCTTCGCCAGATTTTTCCAGCATTTCTTTAATTCGCGAAAAATCTTATCTTCTTTGTTAACTTTCCTACTACGGGCACTCCCGTCCATTATCGCCTAAAGGTTTTCATTTGGGTTATGGTCAGAACATGAAAAAATTATCCCCTGTGGAATTTTTTCTTCTGTGTTGTATTACTACTTGCACCTCTGAACAACACAAAGTTTTGTATTAATACTTGCACCCCTGATGAAGATCTCGGAAGAAGATCAAAAGTACTTGAGAAATAGAAAATGAAAACGATTTTCATAGTTATTGTACATTTCTCACATCATTTAATTGCAATACACAGAAGATTATTCATGAGTATGAACGGATTTTATTAAAAATAAGAAGACATAATCTGCCTATATTTCTGAGATGAGGTATTATGTACACTATTTACATTATTCTGACTATATTCCTCATCTTTGTCGTCATA